AAAAACTTAAAATAAGAAGACAGGGGGTTATTTCCCTTCAATATTGCTAGCTATTGCCTAAGAGTGAGTCTGTGCCAGTCTCCTTTTAATCATTTTCCTTGTTTGAACCTTTACAACAATTGTAAAGGGAAATACTACACATGAACCCATATTACTAAACGGACACCTACAACAAAGAAAGTTCAATGAACGTGCTCACCATCACAGAGCTGAAAAGCTGTGCACTCATTTGAATCCAGCCAGCCTCTCAGGAGAAAGTCTCTGAAATGAAGCCTTCCTTTGCCCCAGCTATGTTTTCTCTGTTGCTGGAACTTCCCTATGGCTTGAAATCTTTTAAATAATAACAAGTCAGGCCGGGCACCGTGGCTTACGCCTGTAATCCCAGCACTTTGGGAGGCCAAGATGGGCAGATCTCTGCAGGCCAGAAGTTCAAGACCAGCCTGGCCAACATGGCAAAACCCCGTCTCTACTAAAAATACAAAAATTAGCCAGGCGTGGTGGCACAAGCCTGTAATCCCAGCTACTTGGGAGGCTGAGGTTGCAGTGAGCCAAAATTGCACCGCTGCACTCGAGCCTAGGTGCCAGAGACAGACTCTGTCTCAAAATAATAATAATAATAATAATAATTATTATTATTATTATTATTATAATGACAAGCTACCAGCTCAACCATGGGCAATGACAAAAGCAATCCATAAGTGTAATAAGCATATACACACACACACACACATACATACACACGCACACATATATACTTTTCTGGCTATCTTCTACATATGGATAAGACTGATTTTCATTTTTGGTGGTGGAAGAGAGTTTGCTTTTCATAAAAATGCATTTAAGAAAGTATTAATCATTTCACTATGAAATGATAAATAAAATGTGCACGTGGCAGCAGAAATGGCAGTCATTCTATATGTGACATGAGGCACAGCATCTTGCTCATAGCTTTATAATCCTGTGTTGATGCCATTTTTGTGGGAACAGTGAATGGCTCTCTTTGGTTCACAGGACCCGTGTTTGAGTGGTAGATGACAATGACAGCATACATACATAACTAGGCACTCCAGGCCCCGATGCTTTGTCTATGAATAAACAAATATCCACTATGCTATGTGTAATGGTTGTTTTAAAGAAGCAATAGCTAATATTATAGACTACTGACCACTTGCCAGGCATCATTCCAAGTTTCTTACATGTATTAAATTATTTAATCCTACACGCTAGATGCCATTATCATATACCTTTTATAGGGGAGGAGACTGAGACACAGAGAGGTTGCAAGGCACAGCTAAAGTGACGGAGGCGGGATTTGCACTCATGCATGCTAACGGCAGCATCATGCCCTCACTCACCACCACTCTATGCCACCAAGTCACAAGAAAGATGAGGACACAGAAAATCTGGCCCAGAGGCAGCAGTGGGAAGCACATTCAGTTGGCAGTCACTTTCCCCTGCACAGCTCTGTGACGTCTCTGGGCTTCAATGCTCACCTCTCAAGCCAAGTGCAAAATTGGTCTATCCCAAAGCATGTTTATAGATTTGAACCAGGGTAGGCAGAGTTTAGCATCCAGTGACTAGCAGATCATGCTCTGCCAGCTGTGACTAGGACAGCAGGCTAGGGGTAGCATAGGTTCATGCATCCCTTCACTTCTGAGCTGTGTGGCCTTAGGCAGGTTGATTAACTACTCTGAAAGACAACACAGGCCTGCCAGGCCCTGCATATTAGCTGTCCCAGTTCTGAGGCCTGTGGCTCTCATTCCCAAGGTTGTATGAAGATCCAGTGATACGAAGGGTGAGAAAGGCTTTTGCGTCTGTACAAATGCCAAGCAGCAGCATGTTATCCAACACCACATTCCTCCTGGCAGGATCACCAGGCTGCAATCTCATTCCCAGCCTCTAATACAGCATAATGCTTCCAAACCTATGAGCCTTTCTCCAGGAGGCTGTTGGGATTTAACAGAATTTGTCTGTCTAAGAAGGTAGTGTAGGCTAGGTGCAGTGGGTCACACCTGTAATCCCAGCACTTTGAGAGATGAAGGTTGGCACGTCACTTGAGAACAGGAGTTCCAGACCAGCCTGGTCAATATGAATAAACCCTGTCTCTACAAAAATACAAAGCTTAGCCGGGCGTGGTGGTATGCACCTGTAATCCCAGCTACTCAGGAGACTGAGGCAGGAGAATTGCTTGAACCCGGGAGGCGGAGGTTGTAGTGAGCCCAGACCCCACCATTGCACTCCAGCCTGGGCAACAGAGAGATTCCATCTCAAAAAAATTAATTAATTAATTAAAAATAAATAAAAAGAAAGTCAGCGTAGAGAGAATACTCATAAGCCTCATTATTTATTTATTTTTAATTTCTTTCATCTTTTTTTCTTTTTTCTTTCAGCGATGAGAATCTTACTTTTTTTCTGGTGGTGAAGCAGGCTGTGAACCAGGACTGCCTGACACCAAAATTCATGTCCTAGGCTCAGGCTGCCCTCTGAAATCTCCTGTTCCCTGGGCAGCAGTGAGTAAGCGTGGTCCTGATCGCTAGGCCAAGAAATCCATCTTCCTCTTTGATTGAACATCAAATAGCATGTCCTCCACAGAGCCAGGGGGACTGATGGTTAGCTTTTATTATAAATCAGCCAGGGCCTCACTCCTTAATGAGCACCATCACACCCTCCAAACTGCAGAATCCTCCATCACTGCTGCATGGGCAGCCAGAAGAACTTCTGCAAACCAGGATCACACACACTGCATACTGCTGGGAACATGCTGGGCATTTCCCTCCATGTCGCCAGTCGCTTTGATGTTCTGAAGTAGGCGAAGGCTGAAACAAATTCAGTTTGGTCTTAGGTGGAACTTCCAAACATTCAGAGCCAAGTCACAACAGGGAGCTCTCAGGGGTCAGCGAGAGTCCTGTCAGTGACATGAGGCAGAGCAAGCCTGATGGTTCCTTGTGGGGACGTGCTGGGCAGTGCTGCCAAAGGTGTGTGAGCCACACCCTGGGACCAGTTCTGCTGATTCCTGTTTGCAATGCGCATCAGCAAAATATGTGCAAAGTTTGTGAATCTTTCATTTTCCTGTTATTTGTGTGTATACTTATTGAAATTTTTCCTGTTGAATATTAAAATGGTTTCTGTATTTTGTGTTTGATTTCCTTATATCTGTAATTAACAGGATTTTGTTTACAAAGGTTTAGGCCTGGGATGGATGGGAATTAAAAAGTGTTTCTTCACTGTGGAGTGTGAGAAGCCCCATGCAGAACTCAAGCAACTGAGGAGTTGGATTCCACCCCGTCATCACTTTCAAGCCTAAAATCTGATGAGATACCAAAGCTGGGCAGGGAAAACAGAAAATGAAAATGAGAGATGGAGAAGTTTCTGTGCCACATTTGCACATTTGACATGACCCGAGGCGATCACGCATGTCCCCCTGACCCCATCATGTGATCCCGCACAGTGCAGTTCCATTTTACAGAAGATGGAGCTCAGGGAGGAGCCGGGCTTGCCTCAAGGTACTCAGACTGTTAGGGGCTCACATTTCCATCAGAACCGTGTCTCTAAATTCCCAGTCCAGTCCCCCACTCCAACTGTTATTTCCAAGCCACACACAGGAAAGGAGAGTCGAATCAAGTCAAAAGTGTTTTATTGTCATTCACATATTGAATAAAGGAAGAAACATAGCAAACCGATCAGCGTAGTTTGAAAAAAAAATCCAGGTTAGTACTGGTTGCTCTATTTATGCCTGGAAGCAGTGCTCTCCCAACATCAGGCACAGCAGCGGCACTTCTCTGACGAGCCTTTGCAGACACAGCCCTGGGCACACTTGGCACAGTCCACAGGGCAGCAGGAGCAGCAGCCTGGGGAAGAAGGGGAGAGTGAGAGGTCACAGCCGAGTTGACCAGGGACCTCTCTGTCTCAACAGCAGGTCTGGCTCAAGTTCAGACGCCAGACCCAGAGGATGCATTTTTAGGTTGGCACAGCTCTGTTCCGATGGTGCATTTGAGGTTTGTGTCCCAATAGAAAAAGTCTGCCCTGCCCCATCTGAGCTCAGAGCAGAAAACCTGGAGAGGGAATGACCCAGCCAACAGGGGTGAAAGAAGACCAGATCCCAAAAGCATGCACTCAGGGCCAGCGCTGAGTTCCCTCCCAACCTTAGCCACAGCCCCAGATTCCTAGAGATGGCCCCGCACTCACTCTTCTTGCAGGAGGTGCATTTGCACTCTTTGCACGTGCAGGAACGAGCACAGGTGCAGGAGGCACCTGTGGAAGAAAAAAAGGCAGTGAGTGGTGAGTAAGGTGCAGAAGGTACAGCGGTGAGTCAATGAGTGTCCAGTGCCCCCTCCTCTGTGCAGGGCCAGCCCTCAGAGCTCCTTTCCCACTCAGAGCAGTGGAACAGAAGCCCCATGTCCTCCGCCATCACGCTGGAAAGGGCAAGCACCCTCCTTTATATACCCTATCAGGAAGTTCCCAGCTCCACACACAGCCCAGGAAGCCGGGGCTGGAGGCCAAAACCTTTTCTGATGAACTCTGACGAGGCTACGTCCCCCGCCTCTCATCCATCCCAGCTGCTCAGAATTAGAGCAGAGCATTGGGGCTCAGCCAGCAGCCCCCGAATAGATGGGTGACATGGAGCAGAACAGCCTTGATCCTCAGAATCCCTAATTCTGACTTACAAGCACAGAGGAGGGAAATGCTCGCAGGAGCTTGGCCAAGAGGAAAGCACTGGAAGAAGTAAAGGAGTTCCCTTCAACTCAGATCTCATAATACAACCTTCTCAAACCCAGGGACACTGTGTACGGTGGCCAGGAATGGGCATCTCAAGGCCCAGAGCCAGGCGTCCCTTACCTGCGGTGCAGGAGCAGTTGGGATCCATTTGGAGCCAAGACAAGCCTGGAGTTCCTAGGCAAGAGATGAGAAGTCAGTAGGGCAGGTGGAAGGCGTGATGAAGTCCAGGAGCTGGCTGCTCCCTTTATAGTCAGGGGAGGTGGCGGGGTGCAGAAGCCCCGCCCTGGCCCTTGCACTCACCCCTGCTGAATCTGCACTGCCCGTGATCGCTGGCTGGGCCGTGAGCAGTGGCCTGGCCTGACTCAGGACTGTCATCATCTTTACCTCCCCTGGATACCGTGTGCAAACCCAGCCTCGTGTTCAACTTCCAGGATCAGCAGCAGCGGGAGCATAGGGAGAGAGTTGTGTGCAAAGGACTGGTGGAGGTTGTGACCTTTGGATTTCCCCCCTAGCCTGAGTCTGTCCCCACATGGTTCCCTCAGCCACATTTCTCCTGCGCACAGCACCAGGACAGAGACAGGGCTCTGTCTCCCTCTCTTCCATTCTTCACTCTTGAGAGGCTGGATGGGCACATTTCTCTGGGTAATCCTTTGCATAAATCTCTCCAGGGTCTCCCCACTGCCTAGCTGGCCTACTACAGGATGAAAATTTGGAAAATGTGGGATGTCCCAGGAAGAGGGATCATTGAAGGTGACATGCAGACCTTGGATGAAATTAGAAAGCAATTTCCTTCCATATTCCTATTACTCTACATAACGTTAATCCATGTTAGGCCCTGTTTAGTCACTTTCAATTTTGAGCCCTCACAGCAACCGAAAAGGGACATATATTCTATTTATGAACCCATATTCCTAATCTGGACAATGACAATACAAGAAGTTCAAGCCACTAGGCCAGGGTCAGAGGGCTGGGAAGTGGTACTGCTGGGTCTGGATCCTGTCAGCTTCCCAAGGGAGAGAAGTCAGTGATGAAGCTTCCCTTTGGCCTAGGTATGTTTATCTCTTTATTGCTTGATATCTTTAAACAAAACCAAGCATCAATGTCAGTCCTGGTAGCAAAACAGAGATGCAGAGGAGTATGAATCAGGAGAATTTGATGGTAACCTTCTGTGTGTGGAAGTTAAACTGATTCTTTTTTCAGTAGTGCTAATGAGTTTGGTTTTCATATAAATATATCTAAGGAAATAGGATATTTATTTGAAGAAAATAAATTTTAAAGAAAAATGTTGAGTCCCATATTGGTGCAGGTGGTAGCAGAACTGGCAAGCATCCTTCCATTTCTGCTAGGGGGACAGGGACTGTCTTGCTCATGGCTTTATATTTCTGGTGTGAATCCCTATTTTGTGGGAAGAGTGCAGGACCCTGTCGGGACCTCAGGTCAATCCTCATGTGGCTGATGAGAAAGACAGAGGACACCAGGCCTGGCTCTTTTGTCTGGAGTAAAAATGTCAACTATGCTATTGTCTGAGCCCATTTGGGCTGCTATCACCAGATACCTTAGACTGGGTACCTTAAAACAGCAGAAATATATTTCTCTCAGTTCTGGAGGCATGGAAGTCCAAGGTCAAGGCACCAGCATATTTGGAGTCTTGTGAGGCCCCGTTCCTCATGGATGTCTCTTTCTTGCTGGGTCCTCACATGGTGGAAAGGGTTAAACAAGCTCCCTCAGGCCTCCCTTATTAAGGACTAATCCCGTTCATGAGCACTTTGCCCGCAGACCACAGTCACTTCCCAAATGCACTACCTCTTAAAAGCAACACAATGAAAGTGAGATTTCAACACCTGAATATTGGAGGGACAGAAGCATTCAGGCCATAGCAGCCGTGAATAATAGTAACAACAAATAGTGGTTAATATTATAGACCACTGGTCATGTACAGGCACCATTCTGAGTTCTTTACATCCATTAAATCATTTGCCTCTATGAGTCCAACCCTATTACAGTCATGTGTCACTTAATGAGAGGTATGCATTCTAAGAAATGTGTCTTTAGGCAATTTCGTCATTGTGCAAATATTGTAGAATGTACTCACACACACCTAGATGATACTGGCTACTACACACCTAGGCTGTCTGCTTTAGCCTATTGTTCTTAGGCTTCAAACCCATACACTGTCAGGCAATTTTAACACAATGGTAAGTATTTGTGTAGCTAAACATAGAAAGGTACAGTAAAAATGCCATATTATAATCTTTATTTATTTATTTATTTTTGAGACGGAGCTTTGCTCTTGTTGCCCAGGCTGGAGTGCAATGGTGCAATCTCGGCTCACTGCAACCTCCGCCTCCCAGGTTCAAGCTATTCTCCTGCCTCAGCCTCCCGAGTAGCTGGGATTACAGGCATGGGCCACTACGCCTGGCTAATTGTGTATTTTTAGTAGAGACAGGGTTTCTCCATGTTGGTCAGGCTGTCTTGAACTCCCAACCTCAGGTGATCCACCCGCCTCGGCCTCCCAAAGTACTGGGATTATAGGCGTGAGCCGCCACGCCCGGCCTCCTATTATAATCTTAAAGGAATTGTTTTTAGCTGAAGAAGTGATCTGAGACAGGGAACCTGATTTTCCTCAGGGCACTCAGAGTGTAAGGTGATAGCACATGGTCCCGGCACCCAGGTCTCTGGACTCTTAATGCAATCACACATACCAGCTCTCTTGAGTATGGGGTCCTCTATTTCCAAGCATGCAAAGAAAACCAGAGCCAGAAGAAGTCAACAACTTTTATTATCATTCACATATTTCATAAAAGAGAGACAAATACAGTAAATGGGTCGTGGCTGTCCGGAAAAAATGCCAAGTTTATATAGGTCGCTCTTTCTACATCTGAGAGCAGGGCTGTCCCGGCATCAGGCACAGCAGTTGCACTTGTCCGACGCCCCTTTGCAGATGCAGCCTTGGGCATGGCACAGCCCATGGGGCAGCAGGAGCAGCAGCCCAGGGAAGAAGGGGAGAGTGAGAGGTCACAGCAGACTTGACCTGAGACCTCCCTGCTCCAACAGAGGCCTGGCTCAAGCCCTGCCTCCAGCCCCAGAGGACCCTTAGTGCAGGCTGGCATTGCTCTGTCAGGAGTCAACTGGTGGATCTTTGGGGTGAGGGTCTTCCAGTGAAAAAGCTGCCCAGCACAACTTACACCTGGGAGAGAACAGAAGACTGGAGAGGCAGTGACCTGGGCACAGGGACAAAGGAAAGCCAGTTCCCCAGAACCATATGCTTAAGTGAGGAAAGTCCTGAAGTGTCAGGTCTGTGCTTGGCAGGTTAGTGCACGCGCATGCCCTCAGTTTCCCCATTTTAAGAATGAAAGTTGGAAATCAACTATCTTGTGTTTTTCCAGCTGTGATCCTGAATTTCTTGCCAGAAAGGGGATGTGGGAAGCTGGTCACTGTCCTGCTCCTGCCTGCTGAGCTCTGGGTTCCCTCCTCTGACTCTGCCCAGTCCCCCGATTCCCACGGAAGGCCCCACACTCACTCTTCTGGCAGGAGGTGCATGTGCACTCTTTGCATTTGCAGGAGCCAGCACAGGTGCAGGACGCAGCTGCAGGGAAGAGAAAAAGGCAGTGAGTAGTGTGTGTGGTGCAGGGTTAGGAGCAGGCCCTCAGCATCCTCCTATTCAGTGCACAGGAAACCTGGTACCTAGTTCCACTCAGGCACACGGAAGCCCGGCCCCATCTTTTCTCCACACTGGCTCGGATGGGCAGGCGCCCTCTTTTTCATACCACATGGGGACTTCAGTGGGGAATCTTGAAGAAGCAATGTCTCCCACCTCCCTACCAGCCCAGGCAGCTCAAATGCTGGACAGAGCACTGGGTCCCAGCTCGGCACACCTCTGGCATATCGGTGACCTGGAGCAGGGGCAGTTTTGAGCCTCATTCCTCTCGCCTTAGAAATGGGAGGCGCTGGGACAATGCTAATGTTCTTAGTGATAATAAAGGTACTTGGTAAGAGAAAAAGCACCAGAAGTACAAAGTAAAATAATCCACTTTAGGTAGAGCTCAAAATGCACCTGCCTCCTGCCACAGGGACATTCTATCCTCTGGCATGAAAATGGAGATCCTAAGGCCCTGAAACCCAGCATCCTTTATCAGTGGTGCAGGAGCAGTTGGGGTCCATCTGGAGACCAGGTGAGGCTGGAGTACCTAAGCCAGAGGCGAAGAAGCAGGCAAGCCGGTGGGAGGCGGAACAGAGCTCAGGAGCCACCACTGGCTTTGCAGTGAGGGAGGAGTGCCGGGCGCAGAGGCCCCGCCCCAGGTCTGGCCCCCGCTCCCGCAGTGTCAGAGGCGCCCCAGGGTTCAGGGCCAGGCTGTGCGCAGCATGCGGGCCCGGTGCCGGATCCTCCCTAGCGCAGCCCGTGGGCACCCTGGGGGCGGCCCTTTGACTCCTGCTTGCTTTGCAAGGGTTGTGCTCCCGGCGGTAGGCAGAGTCCCTACTATAATCCCGGCTCACCGGAATTTTCCGGGAATTGGGGTCCACTCCTGCCCCTGAGCGGTCCGGGAACCCAGCCTCAGGTGGTCGCGGTATCCCCAGCCCATAACCCGCACCAGTGACTTGAGCTTCGCCTCTGTGGGAGCCTGTGTGCTACCCCAGCTTAGTGCTCATGTCCCTAGATAGGACCCAGGCGGGAAGTGCAGCGAGGGAATTGTGTGCAGAGGACCAGCCTCCCATGTGACCTTTGTCTCACCTGCATTGCCAGCCAAGTCCTTTGGCCATGTTCGTCTTGTTCACAGCAACAGAGCAGACACAAGGCTCTGCCTCCTTCCCTTCCATTGCCCACTCCTGGGAAGGTGATGGGCACATTTGTCCAAGTCCTCTTTTGCTTTAACTTCTTGGGGCTTCCCACAGCCTCGCTGGTCCACCAAGCCCAAGGATGGAGCTTCCCAAAACTTGGAATGTTCCCAAGGGAGCGATCTTTTCCCTGATGTGCTCACCCTTGCATTAAACTAAGAAGCATGAAAGGTGGTTGTTACTTTCAGAATTCTTAACTGTTACAGAGCTTTTAGTCTCAGCCAGATCCTGTTTAGTCACTTTGGCTATTTGAACCCTCACAGCAACCCTCAAGGGGAATACTCTTTATAACAGCGTCTTACTAACCGGACGGCAACACAAGGAGATAAATAATTAGCCCAGGACAGAGGGTGGAAGTGTTGCCGTGGGTCATAGTCGTCTTAGCTTTTCAAGGCAAAGAGGTCAATGATGCAAGTTCCCTTTGGCCTGGGTATGTCTTCAGCACCTCTTTATAGCTTGAAATCTTTAAACAAAAACAAATGTCAAGATCAATCCAGAGGGCAACAGAAGTGATACAGAGGGATACGTATAATTGTGTGGCTACCTTCCATGTCTGCAAGGTGAGACTGATTCTTATTTTCAGTGGTGTCAAAGAGTTTGCTTTTTCTATAAATGCATTAAGGAAATATGATTGTTTAAAAGAAAACGTTACGGAAAATAACAGCACAGGTGTTGGCAGAAATGACAAGAATCCTTTTGCATCTGTTATGCAGACAGGGACTGTCTTGCTCATGGCTTTACATATGCAGCGTGGATTCCTACTTGTGGATGGGGAGGGGTCCCTCTCTGATCCATGGGTCATATGCTCATGTTATTGATGGGAACAACATGGGACATACAGCTAAGCCACCAGGACTGGCTTATTTGTATGGAAATATAAAATGTTCCTGTGCTATGAATAAAGGTAATAAAATCATAGCTATTACAGATTACTTGCCAAACGCTATATTAAGTTCTCTATATGAATTAACTGATTTGTTCCTACCAGCCAGACCCTGTTATTATGCACAGGAACAGGGTAGGAGCCTGAACCACAGGGAGGTTGTGTCACCCAGGTATAAATGACACACCTGAAATTTACACTCATGCAATGTCATTCCTTCAACCACCACCCTATGTCACTATGTCATGTAAAACACAAGGACTCGAAAAACCTGGCACAGGGACAGCAGCGAGAAGAGTAATGAGTTGGTAGTCAATCTCTCTTCATAGCTCTTAACCTCCCTGAGCATCAGTGTGCCATCTATCCAGTCAGGGCACAATTGATTCAACTAACCAAGGGTCCTTCCAGCTAAGAACTGTGACAGCAGAGCTCAGCATCTACTTACATGAAGATCTGCCAGCTCTGGAGAGGGCGTGAGGACAGCTGTACCCTAAGTTCCTCTATACCTGTGGTGCTGAGTCATGTGACCTTGGGCAGGTTCTTAAGTTCTCTGGAGGACAGTGTCCCCTGCATGGGGAGCCTCTGCACACACTGTCTCTCTGGTTTGTATGAAGATCAAATGACTTGAAGGGTGGGAAAGGCTTGTTCTCTTTCCAAATGCTGGAGCAGTGTCTTATGCTGGAGAATTGGTGCAGGAGGTCATCCACATATCCTTAAGACCAGATCAGCAAGACTCCAAACCCATTCCCAACTTCCAGTCCACAGTCATGCTTCCAAGGAACTGGACCTTTCCCAAGGAGCTTGATGGGATCTAACAGGATTCTCTGTCTGGGAAGTCCATGTGGACAAATGATTATATCAGCACTCTTCAATGAGTCCTAGCCAGGTCCGAGGCAACTATCACATTTCATCCCAATGTAGAGATATAATCTTCTTTCTACAAATGAGTAAATGAAGCCTCAGAGGGGTTAACCACCTTGCCCAGGTCACATAGCCAGTAAGGGATGAAGTGGGCTGTGAACCTGCTTGTGTGACACCAAAACGCCTGTACTTTGCCCAGACTGCTTTCTCTTCTTGTTTTATTTTAATTTTTTGTTTTACATAGAGAGAGGTTCTTACTATGTTAGCCAGGCTGGTCTGAAACTTCTGGCCTCAGGCAATCCTCCTGCCTTGGCTTGAGCAGAGCATGATGTGAGCCATCGAAGTGGTGTGAGCCACTGTATCTGGCCAGACTACCTTCTGAAATCCCCTCTTCACAAAGCACCTTTAGTCCAGCATGGTGGTTACTCTTGGGCCAGGTGACTCCTCTTCCACTTTAAATGACAAATAGCAATTCCCTCACCAAACAGCCAAATAACTAACAGTTGCCATGAAGTACAAGACACCTAGGGCCTTCCTCCTTCCTACTGAATATCACTGTACCTTAGAAAAGATGTGAAGCGTTAGTATTTTATTTTTCCTGTTATTTTGTTCTTCCTGTCTGTTTTGAGATTTCCTTGTTGAACTTAAAAAATGAACATTCTCTTTTTATTTTTCACACTTATTCATTCTATTTTATCTCACCAAAGCGTAGGTCCATGACTGATTACTGTACCCTCATATCATCTGGCATGATGCTCTTACATTTTTAGCTAGGAAACTGACCTGAGACGGGTGACCCGACTTGCCTTAAGGCCCTCGACTTATAGGATGATTCCAGCTCTGCTGGGTCTGAGGTCTCTTATTTCAGGACACCCCTCAAAAAAATCAGAGGCAGAATAAGGCCAACAATGCTTATTATCATTCCCATATTTCACTTAAGAAAACAGACATAGTAAATGGGTTAGGTTTGTATTTAAAAAACAAACTAGGTTTGCAGGGGTTGTGTTATTTACATCTGGGCACAGGGCTGTCCCAACATCAGGCGCAGCAGCTGCACTTCTCCGATGCCCCTTTGCAGACACAGCCCTGGGCACGTTTGGCACAGCCCACGTGGCAGCAGGAGCAACAGTCTGGGGAAGAAGGGGAGAGTGAGAGATCAGAGCAGGCTTGACCAGGGATCTCCCTGCCCCAACAGAGGCCAGTCTGAAGCTGTGCCTCCAGCCCCAAAAGATGCTTAGTTCAGGATGGCATTGCTCTGTCAGGAGATAACTCCTGGATCTTTGGGGTGAGGGTCTTGCCATGAAAAAGCCACCCACCCTTCCTGTGCCCAGGACAGGGTAGAAAACTCAAGAGGGAGTGACATGCGCTTTGCAGTAAAAGGAGGGACAGTCTCCTAAGTGAGGAAAGTCCTCAAGTATCAGGCCTGTGCGTGGCCGGCTGGTGTGCTCTCTTGGTGTCCCCATGGTAAGAATAAAGATTGGGAATTAACCATCTCTAGTATTCTTCCGGCTGTGATCCTAAGTCATTTGCTGAAGCAAGGGGATGTGGGAAGTTCGTCATTGGTCTGCTCCTGCCTGTGGAGATCTGGGATCCTTCCTCTGACTCTGCCCAGATGCCAGATTCCCAGGGAAGGCCCCACAATCACTCTTCTTGCAGGAGGTGCATTTGTACTCTTTGCATTTGCAGGAGCTGGCACAGGTGCAGGAGTCACCTGCAAGGAAGAAAAAGGCAGTGAGCAGCGAGTGTTGTGTGCCTCCCATCCACCTCAGGCAGCTCAATGCTGGACAGAGCACTGGGTCCTAGTTCAGCACACCTTTGGCCTTCAGGGTGACCTGCAGCCGGGCAGTTTTCAGCCTCAGTCCTCTTGCATCAGAAATGGGAGGCACTGGGAAGACGGCAATGTTCTAAGTGGTGATGAAGGCGCTTGGCGGCGAGCTCGAGAAGTGCAAAGCAAAGGAGTCCACTTTAGGAAGAGCTCAAAATGCACCTGCCTCCTGCCCCAAGGGTGCTCTATTCTGTGGTATGAAAATGAAGATCCTAAGACCGGAAACCAAGCATCCCTTACCAGTGGCGCAGGAGCAGCTGGGGTCCATTTGGAGATCAGGTGAGGCTGGAGTTCCTAAGCCAGAGGTGAAAAAACAGGCGGTCCGGTGGGAGCCGGAACAGATCCCAGGAGTAGGCCGCCTGACTTTACAGTCAGTTCAGGGCGCAGGGTGTAGAGGCCTGGCCCCAGCTCTCACAACTGCCCGGCGCAGTGTCAGCGCCACCCAGGGTTCAGGGCCGGGCTATGAGCACCAGGCGGGCGGGCGCAGGATCCTCCTTAACATGACTGGTGCACACTTCGGGGGCGGCCCTTTGGCTCACGCTCACTCTGGAGGGGCTGTGCTCCTGGTGGTACGCGGCGTCCCGCTGTAATTCCGGTCCTCCCGAATTTCCCGGAGATTGCACTCCATTCCTGCCCTGGGTGGTCCGGAAACCCAGCCTCAGGTGGTCGCGGTATCTCCACCCCAGTACCCCGCGGTATCTCCACCCCAGTACCCCGCACCAGTGACCTAAGCTTCGCCTCTGTGGGAGTCCATGTGCTACCCCAGCCTAGTGCTCCTGTCCCTAAATAGGACCTAGACGGGAAGCACAGCGAGGGAGTTGTGTGCAGAGGACCAGCCTCCCATGTGACCTTCCACCCACCTGCATAGTCACCCAGGTCCTTTGGCCTCACTTGTCCTCTTCACAGCAACAGGCCAGACACAGGGCCCTGCCTCCCTCCCTTCCATTCTCCATTCCTGAGAGGGCGATGGGCATATTTAAGTCCTTTTTGGCTTTAACTTCTTTTGGGCTTCCGGCAGCCTAGCTGGCCCACCAAGACTAAGGACATCCAAAGCTTGGGAGGTCACAAGGGAGGGCTCTTTTCCCTGATGTGGTGACCCTGCATTAAAATAAGAAGCAGGAAAAGTGCTTACTTCCCTTTCAGAATTCCTGACTATTGCAGAGCTTTTGGTCTCGGCCACACCCTGTTTAGTGACTTTGGCTACTTGAACCCTCTCAGCAACCCTCAAGGGGAATACTCTTTACAATGGCATCTTACTAATTAGACAACCACAGCACAAGGAGATAAGTAACCAGCCCAGGACAGAGGGTGGAAGTGCTGAGGCAAGAGAATAGGCTCTGGTGGCAGTGAACCTAAAACTGACTCACAGTCTTTCTAGAACTAAACCAAAAGGAAAACCCCAACTTTCCACACCCAAGTAACAAAAGGACCAAAGGCTACTTCGTTTGCAACCCCTCTCCTCTTTGTCTGCATGGCAGATGAGAAATTGAAAGTACCTCTGATTTGTCCCTTATGACAACCAATTGGACTGGCCTTGGACTACCTCTTCATTTGCATAGCAGTAACTTTGTAACTTCACTTCAGCTTCTAATTGGTTGCTTTCTGTCATCAGTCAGATAGGGGGCCACTACTTCATGTACATAGGGAGTACACTAAATAACTAATGGGGAACCTCTGGAGGATATTTAAACCATAGAAAATTCTATAACCAGGCCCTTGAGCCACTTGCTGGGGCCAGCTCCCACCCTGTGCAGTATACTTTTGTTTCCAATAAATCTCTGCTTTTGTTGCTTCATCCCTTCCTTACTTTGTGCATTTGTCAAATTCTTTGTTCGAGGTGCTGAGAACCTGGACGCCCTGCGCTGGTAACTGTGGTGCTGTGGGTCTCAATCCAGGCAGCTTTTCAAGGGAAAGAGGTCAAGGGCAAAGCTTCCCTTTGGCCTGGGTATGTCTTCAGCACCTCTTTACTGCTTGAAATCTTCAAACATAAACAAATGTCCAGGTCAATTCTGAGAGTGACAGAGGGAGGTATACGTAACTTTATGCCTGCGTTCCATATCTGCAAGTGGGACTGACTCTTTTTCTCAGTAGTGTCAAAGAGTTTGCTTTTCCTATAAATATATTAAAGAAATATGATTACCTAAGAGAAAATGTTAAAGAAAATAACAGCGCAGGTTATAGCAGAAATGGCAGGAATCCTTTTGCATCTGTTATGCAGACAGGGACTGTCTTGCTCATGGCTTTATGTATCCAGTATGGATCCTTATTTGTGGACTAGTGGAGGACTCTCTCTGGGCCACAGGTCATGCGCTCCTGTTATTGATGAGAACAACATGGGACACACAGTTAAGCCCACGAGGCCTGGCTTTTGTTTAGAAGTAGAAAAATATCCCTATGCTATGAATAAAGATTAAAATCAAAGCTATTACAGACTACTCAACACAAGCCAGGCACCATTTTAAGTTCTTTACATGTTTTAAGTGATTTGCTCCCACCAGCAGACTCTATCATTATCTCAATTCGCAGTTGAGGAGACTGAGCCACAGAGAGGTTGTGTCACTCTCATATAAGTGACGCAGCTGGGATTTGCACTCATGCATGCTGACTGCATCATGGTGCCCTCAACAACCACCCTATGTCACCGTGTCATGTAAAACCCAAGAACACTGAAAATCTGGCATAGAGACGGCAGTGGGAAGGGCACTGAGCTAGCAGTAAATCCCTCTGCATAGCTCTGTGACATCTCAGCCTCAACACGCCATCTCACCATCAGAGGCACAGCTGCACTCACTGACCAAGGGTCCTTCTAGCTCTGAATTGTGACAGACAGTTCTACAGAGGAAGAAATGGGGACTCAGAGAGGTTGAGCAACCTGCCTAGGTCTCACAGCCCAGGACAGAGGTGGTGAAGTGGGCAGTTCAACAAGACTGCCCTGACCCTGATCCCCATGCTGTTTGCACAGGCTACCTTCTGGAACCCTCTCTTCAAAAGGGGCACCTGCAGGCCAGCATGGTCCTGATTCCTGGGCCGCTTGACACCTTTTCTTCTTTGAACATCAAATAGCAATTCCCGCAACAAATGGCCAGAGGAACTAATTGCTGCCATTAATTACAAGTTACCTGGGGCCCAACTCCTTCCTAGTGAACACCACCACAATTTAGAAACTGCATAATGGGCCATCACCTGCACATAGGCAGACTCAAAGGTCTTCATCAGGAACTAATCCTTCTCTGTACTCCACCTTGCTGGGAGGATCCTGGGTAATTTCCTACACTCTGCCAGTTACTTTGCTTGCCTGAATTAACCAAACGCTGGAATTGAAAGAGGAACAGATTTCAGCCTGACCTAGGGAGAAACTTCTGAAGTTTCAGAGCCAAGTCACAACATGGAGCTCTCAGAGATACTGAGAGTCATATCAGAGACCCTGGAGAGGCCAAGACTGATGGTTCCATGTGGGGATGGCCTGGCTGGTGCTGTTGAAGGCGTGTGACCCACATACTGGGGCCAGTCTGTGAACTGTTTCCAGTCTGAAATATACACCCTAGAACAAATGTGTAATTTTATTTTTCCTATTTTGTCTTCCATATATTTATTGAAATTTTCCTATTCAATATAAAAAATGAATTTGGTGTTTCTTTCTTTTTGTCATACTAATAGAGTTTATCTTACCAAAGCTTAAGTCTGTGACAGATTCCTGTGGCATTATATCACCTGTCACCATGCTCTTACATTTCTATTTAAGAAACTGACCTGAGGCAGGTGCCTATTTGCCTTAAGGCCCTCAGTGTGTAAGGTGATAGGACAAGGTCCCAGCACCCAGGTCTCTGGATCCTCCATGAAATCCACCATCCCAGCTCTGTTGGGTATGGAGTCCCCTATTTCCAAGGCACGCAAAGAAAACAGAGCCAGCATTAAGTCAACAATTTTATTATCATTCACATATTTCATAAAAAATAATACAGTAAATGGGTCAGGGTTGTATGGAAAAAATTCCATGTTTGTGCAGGTCGCTCTTTCTACATCTTCCAGCAGGGCCTTCCCGACATCAGTCGCAGCAGCTACACTTCTCTAATGCCCCTTTACAGATGCAGCCCTGGGCACACTTGGCACAGCTCACGGGGCAGCAGGAGCAGCAGCCTGGGGAAGAAGGGAGAGCGAGAGGTCAGACCAGACTTGACCAGGGACTTCCCTGCCCTCAAACAGGCCTGGCTCAAGCTCTGTCCCCAGCCCCAGAGGACACTTAGTTCAGGATGGCATGCACTGTTGGAGATGGGCGATAAGTGGCAGATCTTTCCAGTGAGGGTCTTCTGTGAAAAGCTTCTTATCCACATCTGAGCCCCAGACCTGGCAGAAGGCTGGAGAGGCAGTGACTGGGGTTATCAAGGGCAAAGGAAGGCTGGCTCCCCAGAACCATACACTTAGGTGAGGAAAGTTCTTAGGTGTCATGTCTGTGCTTGGCAGGCTGGTGCACTCTCTTGGCCTTAGTTTGTCTATTTTAAGAATGAAATTTGGGAATCAATCATGTCTAAAGATCTGGCTCTGATCCTGAATCAGTTGTTGGGGAAGGGGAGATGGGAAATTGACCACTGGCCTACTCCTGCCTGCTGAGCTCTGGGTTCCTGCCTCTGACTTTGCTCAGCACCAGATTCCTGGAGATGGCCCCGCACTCACTCTTCTTGCAGAATATGCATTTGCACTCTTTGCACCTGCAGGACTCAGCGCACGTGCAGGAGCCACCTGCAAGGAAGAGAAAAAGGCAGTGAATTTGATAAAGACAGCAGCAGTTGGTCAACAAATACTCCCAGCTGAGTGCATTGCCAGGCCGGATAGATAGAAGATAGCTCATGTTCGACTCAGGGCACCATGAAGCCTGACCTTACTTCTATCCCTAGAGGCTAGGATGGGTTTTATGTCCTTAATCCTGAAAAGGCAACAACCCCTGTCTCCCATCCACCCCAGGAACTGCACAGAGTACTGGGGCTCAGCCTAGCAGCCCCCGACTACCTGAGTGACATGGAGCAGGAGAATTATGAGCCTGAGTCCTCTCGCCTCTGATATGGGAGGTATTAGAATAGGAATGTTCTAGGGGTGATGAAGGCGCTGAGAGGAAAAGCACTAGATCAATGAAATAAATGGCTCCACTTAACTAGAAATCAAAAAACACCTGTACTCCTAGGGGCATCGATCCTGTGGCGGGGAAATAGGTACCCTAAGGACCAGAAACCCAGGATCCCTTACCAGTGGAGCAGGAGCAGTTGGGGTCCATTTCGTGCCGTGGAGAGGTTGGAGATTCCAAGTAAGAAGTTGAGAGCCTATAAGGCACACGTGGAAGGCGTGGTGGAGCCCCACAGCCAGCGGCTGCTTTAATAGTCAGGGGAAGAGGGCCGGGAGCAAAGGCCCCGCCCCGCGCTTGCACCCGCCCGGCGCTTGCACCCGCCCCGATGAGTCCGCCCCACCCGAGGTCCTGGGCTGGGCTGTGCGCAGTAGAAGGGTCAGGCGCACAGTTCCCTGAGTAGTGCTGGGTGTCGACCGCGGGACCACCCCCGCCCCCCGCTTTGGCGCACCGCTAACGGGCTTTGCGCCCGGGGTACGCAGTCTCCCCGAGGTACCAGCCGCTTTTCCCAGTTTCCCCAAAGTTGCCTTCCACCCTAGTCCCCGCGCGTTCCGGGAACCCAGCTTGGCGTCTCGTTAGTCTCCCCACTACCCCTCGCACCGTTTTCAGCTCGGCATGTCCAGAAGTCTGTGTGCAGCCACAGCCTCCCGCTCCCGCTCCCGGATCGGCGGAGTGCGGAGTGGGGACCGGGCGGTAGCGAGCGAGTTGTGTGCAGAGCCCCCGCCACCAATGTGATTTTCGTTTCTCCTCGCCCGCGCCTTGCCTGTCCCTGTCCACACCTAGGTCCCTCGGACCTGCTCCTCCGTACACATTAACACGGGGAACACGGGTCGGCCTCTCTCTCGCTTCCATTCTCCTCTCCTGAGAGGATGTGGGGGCACATTTATTCAGGACCTTCTTTGCAAATAAACCTCCATGCTCCCCACAGCCTAGCCAGGCTCCCCACTACCGGTTGGCAGTTCTGGACATGTGGGAAACCCCAAAAATGAGACGATTTCATGTGATGTGCTGACCCTGCTTTAAATTTAAAAGCAAGATGGGGGAGGTAGCAGGAAGCTGTAGTCCAGGCTACTTAGGAGGCTGAGGCGGAAGGATCACCTGAGCCCAGGAGTAGGAGTGCTGCCTGGACAACACAGGGAGTCAACGTCTCTAAAAAAATAAAATTAAAAAGCAAGACAGCCAGTTATTTCTCTTCAGTATACCTGACTAAGGCATAACATTGAGTCTATACCTGTCCCTTTCTAATCACTTTCATTCATTCACAGCCAGCTGTGGAGTGACCCACCAGAGGAAGAACTCACCCTTCACTATGGGATGGCACCAAGCCATTCTTTAGAGATCTGTCCTCAACCCTAAAACCTCCCACTAGGCCCCACCTGCAATATTGGAGGACACATTTCAACATGAGATTTAGCAGTGACAAAATATCTAAATCATAGCCCTCATGTAGGATTCAAGAAACTAGGAACTTGGGTTCCAGCACTATAGCCACTTTGAAGCCCAAAATCCAAGTGGATCTCAAGTTGTGGAGGAAAATGAGAAAATAAAAATAAGGGGTGAAGTTTCTGTGCCACACTGGGAATGAGACAAAGCGATCATGTATGGCCCCCACAGTGCAATACCATTTTACAGAAGTGTAAACTCAATGAGGTAGCCTGGCCGGCCTGAAAGTTTTCACATTATTAGTGGCTCATATTTCCATCCAGAGCCTGGTATCTAAACTCGTGGTTTAACCCCCCACCCAAGTCCGTTTTCTGTAAGACACACAGAGAAGACCAGATTAAGATTCAAGTCAAAATTGTTTTATTGCCATTCACATATTTAATATAAAAAGAAATGCAGAAAATGGCTCAGGGTTGTATTAAAAAAAAACCCAGGTTGTGAAGTTTGCTCTATTTACATCTGGGAGCAGAGCTCTTCCCACATCAGGCACAGCAGCTGCACTTCTCCGACACCCCTTTGCAGACGCAGCCCTGGGCACACTTGGCACAGCCCACGGGGCAGCAGGAGCAGCAGCCTGGGGAAGAAGGGGAGAGTGAGAGGTGGCAGTAGACCGGACCAGGCACCTCCCTGCCCCAATAGCAAGCCTGGCTCGAGCTCAGACGCCAGACCCAGAGGATGCTTTTTTCGTGTGGCACAGCTCTGTTCTGAAACCACAGATGGTACAGTTGGGGTTTGTGTCCCAAGAGAAAAAGGTTTCCCTGCCCCATCTGAACTCAGAGCAGAAAGCATGGAGAGGGAACGACATGGAAACAGGGGCAAAGGAAGCCCAGTTACCCAGAATCAGGCACTCAGTGTCAGCTTTGGGTTCCCTCCCAATCTTAGCCACAGCCCCAGATTCCTGGAGATGGCCCCTCACTCACTCTTCTTGCAGGAGGTGCATTTGCACTCTTTGCATTTGCAGGAGCCGGCGCAGGCGCAGGAGACATCTGCAGGGAAGAGAAAAACGCAGTGAGCAGTGAGTGAGATGCAGAAGGTACAGCAGTGGGTCAATGAGTCTCCAGTGCCCTCTCCTCTGTGCAGGGCCAGTCCTCAGAGCTCCTTTCCCACTCAGGACAGAGGAATAGAGGCCCCATGTCCTCCCCACTCACACTGGGAAGCGCAAGCACCCTCCTGTTTTACCCCACCAGGAAGGTCCCTGTTGCACACCCAACCCAGGAATACTGAGATTGCGAGCCACAACCTTCTGTCCGGAACTCTGAAGACTCTATGTCTCTAGCCCCCCATCCACCCTGATTGCTCAGAGCCTGGAGGAGAACATTGGTGCCCAGCCTGCAGGACCCTGACCAACTGAGTGATGTGAAGCAGGACTGCCTTGAGCCTCAGTATCCTTAACTCTGACTTAGAGGCCCAGCGGGGAGGGCAATGCTCTCAGGGGCATGATCAGAAAGAAAGCACCTAAGGAAGTAAAGGAGTCCCCTTCTGCTCAGAACTTAAAATGCGACCTCCTCAAACCCAGAGACCCTCTGAACTGGGGCTGGGAAATGGGAAACCCAGGGCGCAGAGTCGGGCTTCTCTTACCAGTGGCGCAGGAGCAGTTGGGGTCCATTTCGAGCCGCGGTGAGGCTGGAGATCTTAGCGAGAAATCGAGAGACAGGAAGGCGCACGTGGACGGCGTGGTGGAGCGCCACAGCCTGGGGCTGCTTTTGTATTCAGGGAAGAGGGCCGGGCGCAGAAGCCCTGCCTGGCGCTTGCACCCGCCCTGCTGGGTTCGCGCCGCCTGCGGTACCAGACTGGGCTGTGCGCAACAGAAGGGCCGTGGGCACCATCTACTGAGCTCCGCTGGGGAAGCGCCGCGGAACCGCCCCTTCGGAGCCGGTTCGCGCAGAGGGGCTGTGCGCCCGGCGGTACGCCCTGTCCCCGAGGTCCTCGCCGCCTTTCCCAGTTTCCTCGAAGTTGCCTTCCACCCTCCTCCCGGCGGGTTCCGGGACGCCAGCCTTGGCGACGGGAGCGTCTCCACCCCACCCCTCGCCCCGCCGTTTTCAGCTGGGCCTGTCCCGGAGTCCGGGTGCAGCCCTCCTGCTCCCGTCCCCGATCGGCTGAGTGCGGAGCGGGGAGCCTGCGGTAGCGAGCGAGTTGTGTGCAGAGCACCCGCCACCGATGTGGCTTTCGTTTCTCCTCGTCCCCCCGCCTTGCCTGTCCCTGTCCACACCGCGGTCCCTCTGACCCGCTCCTCCATACACAGCAAGACGGGGAACACGGGTCGGCCTCTCTCTTCCGTCCATTCTCCTCGCCTGAGAGGATGTGTGGGCACATTTGTCCAGGTCCTCCTTTGCAGATAAGTCTCCATGCTCCCTACAGCCTAGCCGGCCACCTCCACTGCCGGCTGGCAGTTCTGGACATGTGGGATGTCCCCAAAGAGAGATGACTTAAGATGACATGCAGACCCTTCTTTAAACTGAAAAGCAAGGTGGGGAAGGTGGTGGAAAGCTGAGGTCCCACCTACTTAGGAGGCTGAGGCGGGAGGATCACTTGAGTCGAGGAGTTCGAGTCCTACCTAGTCCATATAGCGAGTCACTGTCTCTAAAAAAAAAAAAAAAAAGCAAGACATCCAGTTATTTCTCTTCAATATACCTGACTATTGCATGACATTGAGTCTACACCAGTCCCTTTTTAATCACTTTCATTCTTTGAATCCTCACAGCAAT